AAGCAAAGGATTCAATGGAAACACCCTATCGTTGGCCTACATGTGCGACGGACTGACAAACTGCTAAAAGAGGCTAAATATCACTCAATGGATGAGTACATCAAATATGTGGACCGGTATTACGATAATCTGGACACGACTTCTGGCAAAACAACTCGCAATAGACTCGTGTATTTAGCGACCGATGAGCCAAATGTATGGCTCAACGAATTAAGACCTTATATTAAAACTCGGATTGAGTTCATCGGTGATCAACGCATATCATATAATGCTTACGATAATACCAGGGACAGTTATGAATCAATTCGTGATTTAATTGTCGAGGTTTTGGTGTTAAGTGAATGCGATTACATTGTCTGCACCTTCAGCTCAAATGTGTGTCGATTGGGCTTTGAGTTAAAGATAAGTCGTGTAAACAATTCAATACACAATTCAATTGCCATCCAATCATTGGATGATCCATATTATTATATCCCATAAATTCTTATAAATGTTACCTTTATGTTATTAAAGTAATAAATAAATATTTATTTAAATAAATATATTTTGTTAAATAATTAAATTAGTAACAATCAGGTTATGGTATAAATAATAACTGGTTAGCTATTATAATAAGTTAATCCAGAAAGTGGATTACTTAACAGGGAAGTATCCTATTGCCTAGTACTTTTAAAAGCATATACAGTACAAGCTCCCAGATATGGATAGCGTATTGCATAACGATTTCATACATAACTGAGAAAGTTCATAACAGAATGGGTTCAAAAGTCAATTTTATTTTAATTATAAAAATCATTTTTTAGGGAAATATGCTGTAATTTGCGATTGAGTGGCTTTATTAAAATGACATTTGAAAGCCTTGTCTTTAATCTGATCCAAATTAGTGATCATCTCGTCGTTGCACTCATCCTTTGCAAGAAAATAGGACTTTAGGGTAGAAATAGCCGTCGAAACGTCTGACAAATTCGGCGCTTTTTCGGACACTTCAGTCTCTAACTCTATTTCTCGTTCAGAATCAGATTCTCTTGATAGCGGATCAGTTGACTCTAATGGTGTGGACGTGTCTGATGATAAATCACCGACACATAGCTCTTCATCACAATCGACATATTAATTGAAATCGTATTCAATGCCCAAAGAGTGTTGCAATTGTGGCCACAGTTCACATGAAACTATGGGTTCAATAGTGGTTGTGATGCCTTCAGATACTGGATTTAAATCATTAATAAATCCACACTTTCTAAAACAGTTGGAAATCGTTTGACTCGAAACTTGATTCCATGCGGTTTTTACCATAAAAACTGCATCTAAAAGTGTAATAATTATAGGCAAAGGGTTGGGTTTAAGCACCCGATAGTTGGCATACATGTGCGCCGGACGGACAAACTCATACGCGAAGCCAAATACCATTCCCTCGATCAGTACATGTCATATGTGGACCGGTATTACAATAACACGGATGTAATGAATGGCAATACCAGTGAACGACTCGTGTATTTGGCGACCGATGAGCCAAACGTATGGCTCAATGAAATCAAGCCATACATCGGAAAGGGATTTATATTTAAAGGCGATATGAAAGCGACAATGAAATCGTATAATAAAAACCGAGATAAAATGTTTAGTGCAAGGTACAGTGCATCATCAATTAGGAGTATAATCACCGGGATATTAATGCTAAGTGAATGCGATTACATTGTGTGTACCTTAAGCTCAAGTGTGTGTCGACTGGTGTTTCCACTAATGATAAGTCGTGTAAACAATTCAATACATAATACTAATGCTATTCAGTCATTGGATTGGAGCTATGAGTTCATTCATTTTCATATCGATAAAGATCCTAGATATTTTCCATCATTTAATTAATTTGTAACTGCTAAAGTGTTGTTTCTATTATTTGTATGTAATTAACAGTATAATAATATAAATATTAATTTCTATTTATTAATTTTATCATTTTAACTTTATAAATCCCTGAAATATCTAAAGGTTTACATTAATTTTATCAAACAAATAAATGAATATCACTTAGGTGACATCACAAAAAATCAATTAAAAACTTTTTTGTTTACTGTATATAAATGTAGTGTCAAGGACATATTTAATAATAAAATGTTTATGAAAATACATACTTAGCACAATTTATTGATTTTCTGTTTTTGTGTTATTATTTATAATAATAATTTTGTTTTCTATGTATTACTATAATTAAATATCGATTTTATTTCACATTGTATGCAATTATAATATTCTGTTTGAATTACAATAACTAGTATACGTGTATAACAAATGCAATGAGGGTTATGTTTATAAATAACAAACTTTTATCCAAAGTGCTCATTTTTGTGTTATTTATTATAATTATTAAGGTACTCAACATTAACAACAGGCACAAACAATTATTCAATAGTAAGTAATCAATTAATTTTAAGCATGCTAACTAATTATGTAAGAATCGGCTAATTTTAAATTAATCCTGATATAATATTAAATTATGAATATTTATTTTGCAATTTATTGTAGATTTACAAAAGAATAAGCTGAGAGACATAGGTATTAGAAAATTAAGCAATGTAATATTTGATATAATTAACACGCTGCAAAATCCTGCAAAATGTAGTTCAGCAAGCAAATTTGTTTGCATATTAGAGATACAATGTGGGTTTGGGTGTACCATGCACCACTACGCTTATTGCTTAATACTGGCCCTACAAATGAACCGGACACTTATTTTCAAGAGGACCCGAAAAAACATGTTTACATCATATATTAAATCATTGTTTCTACCCATAAGTGATACATGTATTGACTCTTACGGTGTAAACAGTACGATATGGTGGTCGGGGACGGTAGATAATGTGCGTGAGTATCATCAAGTTATATATTATAGATTCATGGACAATGTGGAAGTGTATAATACTGATAAAATGGTGCCTGCACAAATCAAGACTCAATTACACTCCCTGTCCACTGAACCCTTTGCTCTATTCGTGGGTTTATTAATCCAGTATTTAATGCGTCCGACACTAGAGTTGAGCCGATATTACGATAATTATAAGCAAAGGATTCAATGGAAACACCCTATCGTTGGCCTACATGTGCGACGGACTGACAAACTGCTAAAAGAGGCTAAATATCACTCAATGGATGAGTACATCAAATATGTGGACCGGTATTACGATAATCTGGACACGACTTCTGGCAAAACAACTCTCAATAGACTCGTGTATTTAGCAACCGATGAGCCAAATGTATGGCTCAACGAATTAAGACCTTATATTAAAATTAACATTGAGTTCATCGGTGATCAACACATATCATATAATGCTTACGATAATACCAGGGACAGTTATGAATCAATTCGTGATTTAATTGTTGAGGTTTTGGTGTTAAGTGAATGCGATTACATTGTCTGCACCTTCAGCTCAAATGTGTGTCGATTGGGCTTTGAGTTAATGATAAGTCGTGTAAACAATTCAATACAAAATTCAATTGCCATCCAATCATTGGATGATCCATATTATTATATCCCATAAATTTTTATAAATGTTACCTTTATGTTATTAAAGTAATAAATAAAAATTTATTTAAATAAATATATTTTGTTAAAATTAATTAAATTAGTAACAATCAGGTTATGGTATAAATAATAACTGGTTAGCTATTATAATAAGTTAATCCAGAAAGTGGGTTACTTAACAGGGAAGTATCCTATTGCCTAGTACTTTTAAAAGCATATATTTAGCATTATATAAGTAAATATTATAACAAACTTAGTATACGGTATATAAAAATAATTTATTTTTTAAAACCTAGACTATTTTAATTTATTTAACACAGCTAAAACATTTATTTAACTTGAGTCATTGTGTGTAAAATTGTAAATTAATCACAAATCGTGATTTTATCAAAAATATTAAAAATCATTTAGATATCTCAAACAGTACAGTATTATTTATAGGTATTAAATAAAGTAAATAGTATTTACTAAATACTGTATACTGTAACGTAAAATAAATTATAATAGTATTATCATTGTTCAGTACATCGAGGGAACGTGAAATAATTTTTTAAATATTATTTTTCACAAATAATTTCAATAACACTTTCAACTAGTAATTTGTTAGATTTTGTTAAACAGTTTGTGTTTATGTTTATACAAAGTGAACACCACTTTAAAAATAAAATGTTATTCAATAAGAAATGTTTGACTAATGGGATAACTCTGATAGTGTGCACAATCATTATTATAATGGTGTACAACATTGACTTAAGACCAAAACGTATAACAAATCCAAGTCACCTGGATTACACCAACATAGTTATCGATACGATTAACAAAATGCAAAATCCGTCAAATTGTCGCTTAGCAAGCAAATTTGTTTGCATATTAAAGATTAAATGTGGATTTGGGTGTACCATGCACCACTACACCTATTGCCTAATATTAGCCCTTAAACTGAACCGGACACTTATTATACCCGAGACTATCACAAATACGTACACATCACACATGAAAATGCTTTTCCGACCCATAAGTGACACGTGTTTGGACTCAAACGGAGACAACAGCACCACATGGGAAGGGATGTCAGACCAGACACACTATTATTATCAAGTGATTGACTTTTATTTTGGCTATAATTCAAAGGGATATCTCCAGGATTTGAAAAATCTCACACAAATAATCCGTCAATTGCAATCCCTGTCCACTGAACCCATTCCTCTATTCATTGGACACATAATCCGGTATTTAATGCGTCCGACACTAGAGTTGAGCCGATATTACGATAATTATAAGCAAAGGATTCAATGGAAACACCCTATCGTTGGCCTACATGTGCGACGGACTGACAAACTGCTAGAAGAGGCTAAATATCACTCAATGGATGAGTACATCAAATATGTGGACCGGTATTACGATAGTCTGGACACGACTTCTGGTAATAAAAGCCACAAAAGACTCGTGTATTTGGCGACCGATGAGCCAAATGTATGGCTCAAAGAATTGAGTCCTTATATTGAGAGACGGATTGAGTTCATCGGAGATCAACACATATCTCGTGAAGCATTTGGTAGGATCAGGGAAAGTTATGAATCTACACGTCAGTTAATTGTCGAGGTTTTGGTGTTAAGTGAATGCGATTACATTGTCTGCACCTTCAGCTCAAATGTCTGTCGATTGGGGTTTGAGTTAATGTTGACTCGTATTAAACATTCAAAAAACAATTCAATATCCATTCAGTCATTGGATGATCCATATTATTATCATCCCTGAGATAATTTGAAATTATTTTACTTTTGCTATAAAATAGATATAAATTTATTATGAAATTAATTTTCACTTGTTAATAACTTATACTATTATTCAAACAAACGTATTCATTCAAATAAAATTCAATGTGTTATATAAAATTAATGATTAATATTTAAAATTGATTTATTCATTTAAGTTTAAATGGACTTTTATGATTAATATCTACATATTATTACAAGTGCATTGTATTATACAATTTGTATACCGGTACTTATTTTTCAAAAATTTTTAACACGATTTCTTAATGTATTACAATTACATTGATGAAATTTTCGTATAAAATAATTGCGCACAAAACTTAATTGAACCGGATAATGTAACTCATACTGAGTATTATAAATATTGTTAACTCTGACACAAAATTCATGTATAAATTGCGTTAACAATAGTATAGAGAACCCGAACCATAGGCTGACAACACTCGCCATAAGACACGCGTACTCTTCGGCAGACATTTTCAGTTGGATTTCGTATAAAACTCGCGGTTCGGTCGGAGCCTTCAATATAACACTATACGAGTCATTATATGTGAGCCAACCCTTGAAACTACCTGTCCTCGCATTTAGTTTATAATACTCTTTACGACAATCCAGTCGTGGTTTACATCGTTTACGACACGTTAGAAATAATTTGTAAAATAACGTGTTATGAGATTTGAATTTTAAGCCAGGATATTTATCGTTCACCAGTAATTTATACGGCAAACCTTGGGTGATATTAGCGTACCGGTGCTGAATGCACCAGTATATACAGTACTCTCGATCATTAGAGGCACCGCATTTAATACGAGCTTGGTCATTGAACATGTACTGAATAACCGCGGTATTATACTCTACGTAACACGAATTTGATGTATTAATTCTGACATTATGCTTGCTTATTTCAGTGTTGTATTGATTGTATAGCAATAAACTCCTTGAATGCATAATAATTTGAAATTCATCCGAGTCAATTAATTTTCTATTTTTAAATACTAATTGAAAAATGGCAGTAAGAACCATATTACCCAGGTCAATAGTGTAATTATTTGGCAAATAATCATTATTTTCAGTAAATAATGTCAAACAATATTTATCGCCATTAATCGACACCCTGTATGGGCTAATATCGAAACACTTTTTAACCAGGCTCATTTGCATGACATGTTTATCAGATATGTTAGATATGTTTATGTCATTACTATAGACAATGCAATCGAAAAAGTATTCTGGTGATATAAATGCCGCAAATTGTTCACTAATAGTAAGATTATTTAGATATGAATTGATATTTGTTTTTGTTTTATCAATACTTGTGTTGCGATAATAGTTTGCAATGAATTCATGGCTTAATAGAGAGATCTTATTGAGACATATAGTGATCGCCGGAAGTGTGATCTCGTCGTCCGACTCGTACTTAACATTAGTTGTCGTTTCGTATGAAAAGTATAATAAACTTATTTTGTAGGTCTGATACACACATCCCATCAAACATAATAACCTGGTCAGTATTTTATATAAGTTTATTAAATTCATTATTAAACTATGTTTATAGTCGTTGCAACATTTAGAGTGAAATAAAATTGATTTATTCTGGTTGAAAAGATTATTAATAAACTAAATTGAATTTTTATTTCATAAAATGTTTGTCATATTAATATTTTCATTATATTTGCATAATATTTAATTATTTTTACACAGTACACAATAATTGTTTACTAAATTGATTTATAAATTAAAATCAATATGTTTCTACAATTATACAAATAAAAAAGCTTTTTAATTAAATTATCTTGAAACATGGAAATCAATAATCTTATTCAGTATTTGACTTGAATATATTTAATAAGTTTAGTTAACTAACGAAATATATAATTAATTACAAATATTTTATTTTAATGATTATTTAATAGATCCTAGTTTAATACTTAATATTTGCATGTCTATTTAATTCATATAAATTGAAACATTTTTCCAATTAAATAAACTTCCGGTATAAATATGTAAAACATTGTATTTTCGATGGATTGACATTTAGTTAACACTTATCTATTGTAATAAAAACATAACTTTATTACTTATATTATATGTAAACATTAAAAAAAATTGTTTGTAAAATTTAACCTAATATTTTATCTAATAGTTACAAAGTAAATAATAAGCAAAATAAATCAACAAAAATTAATTTTTTTAAAAGCTAACTGTTATTTAGAAGTGTACTATTTATGCACTGTATATTTACATAACAGTTAGCTTTTAAAAAAATTAATTTTTGTTGATTTATTTTGCAGTGCATAAATAGTACACTTCTAAAAGCCAACTAAATTTTGTTTAAAATAAAAAATCATTTAATATTAATTTGATAAAAAATAAGCTTAAAATGAATTTAATAAACTTATATAAAATAATGACCAGGTTATTATGTTTGATGGGATGTGTGTATCAGACCTACAAAATAAGTTTATTATACTTTTCATACGAAACGACAACTAATGTTAAGTACGAGTCGGACGACGAGATCACACTTCCGGCGATCACTATATGTCTCAATAAGATC